AGACGCTGCAATTCAGTTTTCATGTAGTCATCGAGGCAAAGTGCCAGCTGCCGGCGAAGTACAGTCAAAACAAGGAGCCAACCGACACAAAAAATGACACCTAGTAAAACCTTGATCTACTTAGTTTGTAGTACCTATCCTTAACATCATCTCAAGTACCGGGAATATTTGAAGATGACGGCAGATAAGATTACCTTAGTGTCAATATTGTGAGAGTTAAGTAGAGCGTAAAATTTACTCCAATTTCAAGGAATCTAAAAAAATAGGTAATATTAATTTGTTACCAAATATTAAAAAAGCTGTTATCTAAAGACGTCGCTGATAATAATTATTTTGCTTCCTTCTGACTTATAATCAATATTTATTCTTGGAGTGAAGAATGTAAAATTCCTTTCCTTTTGCACCTATAAATACACACACTCAAATACAGTCACGCCCAAAGTAAAACAAACATAATTTCGCAATGTAAATACAAAATTATGATTGCCTTTGACCCCGAAAAAAATGAAATGAAAACGTAATATTTTCAGTAGAGAAAGCAAATCGATCAGCAGAGCCATTACTTTGGTCCCTTTAACACATTTCCAGATTGTGAGTTATCAAGTGCAAACTACATTTCGAACTGTTTGAAAATCAACCCTTTTTCCCTGATAGAACCCGCAGAAATGTACACCATAAACATGTCAAAAATGTTTAGCGTTAGCAGGGGAAAAAGGGGTTACCAATGAATTTTTGGGAAAAAAAATAACAAAAACTAATTAAAAACGACCCATAAATAAAGTGAAAGTTCAAAATGAAGCAATTCGAATGAGTGCCGAATAAAAATCCACAAGAATGCGTAGAGATTTTTATGGGACAGTAGCTAAAGGCTTAGTTGCGCTTCATTTGATTTGAGGGGGATGTGTGATCTTTTCGGCCAGCTGCTAATGTTTTTGCGCAAAATTTTTGCGGTGGCCCGGTATTATAAAGCGATTAACAGTTCGATTCCTAATGCGAATGGAAACAATTTCGTGTGGTGAAAGTGACCGATGGACAGGCAGGGAAGTCCTGGATGGGGAAATCCTGTTTTGCTGTCGAAGAACTCACGCCCCGACAACAACAAACAACCAGCACGCACAAAGGAAGTGCAATTAGAGCAGAAAAAGGGGGTGGGGGGGTTAAAACCATTGGAAATGGGGAGGGGCACAAGGTCGAAGGACGAGGGAGGAGGACCTCCGCTGATTGCCCATTGTGCGGGCAGCTTCCTGCTTTAATCCCCTCCATTGTTTGCCCTAATTTTGTTATTTCGTAGTTGACCACCAGGCTCTATCAGTTCTGACCGATATTGAGATGTATTCTTAAAAATAAAACTAAAACTGGATCAAGATTTTGCAAAAATAAATAAATAAACAACAGACTATGAAGATTTCTTAATGCTAGCTTTTAAAATGTAAGCATAACTATCTAGTGCTAGCTATTAATAGAATGTGTTAAAATTTTTTAAACACGTATCATTAACCCCTACTTTAATATTACCGCCTATAATGACAGTCTCGAATGCAGACCCTCGATTTCCCACTTCCCCAGCCAATCTTACACTTCTACTCAAATGAAGTTGTCAGCGGCGGAGCATTTAAATATTTCAACGGCCACCAATCTCTGCCCACGGTCTGCAGTGCGTAATTTAAGCCCAAAGTGACCCAAAAACTTGAGATTCGAATTGAAACTGCAGCTGAGACATGAGAACAGCGAATTTACGCACTTTATCTATGAAAATATTCATGGCAAGTTGCATAAATAATCCGCCTAGCACTTCAAATTGATAAAGACAATTTACAATTTATACAATGCACACAGGCCTATCTATATGTGTTGAACGTGAGTCTAAATGTACGTACATACATGTGTGCCATATAGACATGTATGTCAGATTGGGCGCCTGGGAGCAGCTTACCGACTAGACAGCTCCCAGTCCAAAAAGCGATTTTAATTCAACACAAACAAGCATCAATGGCAGAGCCCAGGCAACCCAAACAAATCAAATTGGAGTCATTTACCCCTCGACACTTCTGGAGGCAGAGGGAGATTAATGGGGGAGTGGGTTTCGGGGGCTTCGAGTGAAGTCGAAGTCAGACTCATGTGCCAACGACATCTGCTCCAGTCGAGTAATGGAAAAACAAAAGCAAAAAACGACAGAAGTTGGGGATACCCTAGGGCACCCCAACACAGAACGTTACCTAAAAATAATAAATTGTATGCCTTTGTATAAATGTAACGTAGTATTTTATGTTTAATAAAATTAAAATTTTAATTAAATGTTATGGATGAATTTTAAATATAAAGTAATTACCTGGCTTTAAGGAGAAAAATGTTTCATTAAAAAACCATTATTGCTAAGTGTTATTTATTTACTTTTCATTTTGATTGTACAGATTCATAAATTATTCTAAAAATGCTTTAGGTGTACATTACTGAGATATTTGAGCGCAAAGTCATAATCTATACAACAAATTTCTTTAAATTAGTATTTAATTTTAAAATTTATTTAAAGCTTTAAAATATTTCTTCCTTTAAGTTTTATAATGTACAATCAATAAAAACCATTTTCTTTTGTTTATCTTATGTTAGTATTATAAAAGATGCAATATATTTTGTATCGAAGAAGTAACTTTGATGTATTTCCTAATACTGTGAATTATTTATGTTATATTAAGCTTACATCATTTATTTGCCCTTCTCCTGTTATAAAAATGTTGTAAAGATATCAGTTAACGACTGGCATAGTTGAGTGGTCAGTTACCACAGCCGTGTAATCACTTTAAAAGCAACCTAATCGATCATCAGCCCGACAAAACCCATCCCCATGTTGTCATACCCTGCCACTCCTCTTCTCTTTCAGTGTAATATGCCAGACTCATGCAAATATCTGTGTAAATTTGCACTGACGACGGCGAATCGACGACCCACATATGGAACAACTGGCTTAGATACAGATACACGTACTCACGGATAGCCCAGGAGTTGCAGTCGTCTCTTCCGTGGGCTCAGCTCGAGTGGAAATGGCTTTCGACTGGCAGTCTCTGAGTTGGCAATCAATCAAGTCAAGTGCCTAGGCTCGGAGCAGGGACCATTTTCTCGAAATTATGAATTTCTGTGAGACGGATATCCTGCAGTCAGAACATATGACTCTGCACAGAGAAAAATAGTTCAGAGAATGGTTCCAATCATAGTTTTGGACTTACTTTTATTTTTTGGATCAGTGTAATTCTTTAAGCACTTTTATAAAATACAAAAATTTCTTAAGAACTTAAAATTAACTAGGTTTTAAATAATTAAATTGGGTAAAAGAAAAATATAATAAATCCCCCAAATCCCATAAATTACCTCAAAAAATAAAACAATTTAACCCCGTGTAAATCACACTGATCAAACCTTTTAAAATCAATATATTGAAGTTTTAAATATCACAATTGCTTAAATACAAAATAAAAAGTATTTGTATTCTAAAAAAAACTTTGAAATTTTGTATTATATTTGTTAAATCAATCATTAATTCATATAAAAATGTCTTACTACAATGCAAGGTTCCAAAATCAAAAAACCCTCCATTTTAGAAGGTCATCTGATTATGACTTTTTCTCCGAGTGTTGCACTCTAACCAGACACGAAGTCATTGCCAATTATGTCAGCGATATGGAGGCGAAGACGTGTACCAGGTTGTAATCAAAACTGGTTACCTTGACATTGCCAATGCTTGGAACCACGAGCTGCAAGCTCCGTCCAGCGCAATTACCCTGGTCATCCGTAGCCATCCATCTGTGCAACTCCGCTTCCCATTCGCCAATTTGCCCATTTGTCCACTTGCCCACTTTCAATGTGGGTCATCTAATGGCACACAAATTGGATTAACGCATTGCCAACTCCCCTGAACATCGGGCCGTGTAGAAACATCTTGGCAATTTGCTGTAATTAAATCGCCGCCTTGTCGTCTTGCACTTAAATGGCGTATTTAATGGTGTAATATCATTCGCGTTGCGCTTTTAATTTCTATTTATGTCCGTTGGCCAGCAATTTCTCTTAATTGCAACACAGTCGGTCGCACAGATACGCACATTCTGCCGATAGGCCACTAAGTAACTGACAAGTATTTTGATAAACTGCTTTCGGGCCGCCCCCAGATCACGCTTTATCACTAAAAAATAAACAAAAAATATGCCCCAAATGCTGTCAATGCTGTTTTGATTTATGCGTTCCGAGTTCTGTTCGATTCCATTTACATGGCCAACGCAACTGGGGAGTAGCGCACCAGTTCAAATGTTAACAAATTAAATTTTCTACTTAATCAAAATGCAGTCGAGAAACGTTCAAAATATGAAAGGGAGCAGACAAACATTTGTGTGTCTGTGGGGCTCGGGTTTATTTTGGGCACAAATAAACAAATGAATCAAGCCATTAGATAGAGCACATACAGACAGAATCAGCCTTGAGGTAAAAACTCTGCAAATATAAATACGTAATTGCCTGACACCTTGGCAACCCCGCGGGAATGGATTGGTTTTGGGTACACCCACCCATTATCAGCTTGCCGTGGAAACCCTTTACCCATTAAAAACAGTGGGACGATTTGTAAGCATGTGGTTTTAATTCCTTAAAAAAAACGAAAAGAAGTAATTGACTTCTCTACTTCCTATTTGGCTCTTCATTGAAATCAATTAAAAATCATTAAAAGGTTACATTATATTCGTTTGAAAGTATCTAAATGGTGGAGAAAACCTTTCCCGGAAAAAATAAATGCTTTACAAATTTTGTAAAAGTGTACATGGGATTTTGTTTTCATTATCAATACCCATCTTCATACCAAGAATTGTGTAATTCGGACACTTGCGATCTAGGAAACAGCCGAATAGCTGCATGCACATCTCCATCTTTCTTGTTTTTTTTAATATATATATCTGTAACAATATAATATATAAGAGCTTCCAATTAAACATTTCTAAAAAAGTAAAGAAAATGATCCAAAATAAAGAACCTGTATATATCCGATCATTATTTGTATTATAAATTTCACGCTATTATGCCCGTGAATCGATAAGAATTCCATTTTTTACTAGATCTACTAAGTAATCTAAAATAAATAAATCCTTTTTATTTAATCGTTTTTCTTGGCCTTAGACCCACATTAGTTCCCGACGAGGAACTCAATACAAATGTATATGTAGCCTTGAGTTCCTCACCAAGCGGAAGTAGTTCGAAATGTCGTATGACCTTACTAATGAACGTTTTCATTTCCAGGTTGGCGAACTTTTTTCCTATGCAGTTCTTGGGTCCTGAACTAAATGGAATGTAGGCAAAGCTAGCAAGAGAAGCCTCTTTACCATTCATCCATCGTTCCGGCTTAAAAGTTAGAGGTTCAGGAAAGTACTCCGGATCTCGATAGACATAGTACGGTATTAATACAACGCTTGTATTGCCGGGAATGGTTTTATCCCCAACCTGCAAGTCCTCGGGGATGTATCTTCCGAGTATGGGAACTGGTGGATGCAAACGCATTGTCTCCTTGATCACGCAGTCGAGATATTTCAGATCTAGTAATTGGGATTGGGTCACTGGAGTGTTGGGATCTTGACCCAGGACAGCCAGTAGCTCCTCGTATATGCACTCCTGCTCTTTTGGATGCCTTGAAATGACCTGTAAGGCATGGGACACCACACTGGTGGTGGTGTCATCTCCCGCCAGTATGAAAGTTTCAACCTCCTCGCGAATATCCACATCGGTTAGGGGCTTATTATCAATAGTGGCTTGCAGCAGGATGTCCAGTAGGGTCATCTTAGATTTGCGACCGATATCATCATCTTCCAGACCTAGAAGATAATAAATATATTTCGGGTAATTTATTGATGACTAATTACACTTACTCAGCGGTTGGTAGCTACCATCGGCCTTTGACCGCTCTAGAATCGCTCTCCTTTCGCGAATGACCTTGTTTGTAAAGTCTTTCATAATACGTAAATCTCTTTGCAATCGCCGATAAACAAAAGGGGCCGCCAGCGGAAAAAGCCAGTTATAGCGCTGCGTAACACTTGACATGCGGTTCGACTCGATAGAGGCCACACTGAAAAGGATGCTGACATCAGAAGGTATATTCTATGCAGCTATTAGCAAACCACCTTTTGACCGCCTTACTGTAGGCGCATTTGGGGTCATTCTGGGCGTTCACTCGGACCCCCATGGCGGCCTCTAATTAAATTGTATATAGACAGGAATATGTTTCAATACAACTTGTAATATAATTTTCTTAATATATATACCTGTAATCACATCAAGAGCTGCCAAGTAAACATATTTGGAGAGGTCCACGGGTGCGTTCTCGTCAGCAACCTTTCTCAGTTTCTCCACCAGAATTCCACTGTTTCGATCCATTATCTCCACAAAGCTCTCGAGGTATTTATAGTGAAATGCTGGGATGAGAACCTTTCTCCGAGAAGCCCATTTGCTTCCCGTGCTTAAAAGGAGTCCATCGCCAAGGAACTCACGCACAAATCGGTAGAGCTCAGCCTTTTCCAACAGGGTGCTACTGCTAAGAATAGCCTCAAAGTACTTGAGATCCTTGGTGTAAATCATGCACTCGTCCAGTATCCAGACTCGAAAGGTTTTGCCATATTTATTGAAATTGTCGCCAAAAACGTGGAGGTAACCTAGATAGGTGAGATTGTAATCCTTTAATAAATGCAGTTGAAATAATGTTGTGCAAAACTCACTATCAGGGCCCAAATTTAAAGCCTGCAGAACATTGCCCAGTAGCGGGATTGTAGGTGGTCCCGTGATATTTGACCTCTTAAGAATGGCAGACCGTTGGAGTTTGCGAAAAAAGTCCCAGGCCAGGATCAGGATCAGAGCTGCTATAATTAAGGAAAGAAACATTTCTGGAAGAGTTTTCCTGGTAGTAACCTCGAAGCGGTAACTAAAGTGGTAGATCGAACCCCGAATCAATTTATATTGGGTCTATGTTCTTAGCTCAGCACTTTTTGCACTCAACTGCCGCTTTTACGTTTAACTTATAGCTTATATTCTATGCTGTCTATACTGTCTTTCATCATAATACATACACTGAAAACATTTTACATTTTAATCTCTTCCAAAAGGTTTCTCGATTTCTCTCCCTTTCTCATAATATTTATGTCAATAGACATAAATTTCTACTAAGTTAAGCCTGCAAAAACCTTCCGTGGTCAGTGTAAGCTCGGGCTAATATAATAAACACGCAAATTAAATGTAATTATTTTAATGGATTGGAAACAGCGATTATCTATGTAAATTTCCTTACAATGTATTTAATAATTATTACTAGTTTGTATCAACATTAAAAAAGAACAAGAAAGAAAGCTAGCTTTAGCATGTCGAAGTTAATGTACCCTGACAAATCATTTCCTTGGAAGCATCAGATTAAGCACAATTAGTCCGAGCATTGAAATTAATCTTAATCTGAAATCCCGACCCCCTAGATCTTATAGTTTTCGAGATCACAGCGTTAAACGTTCCTTCTCCTTTTATCATATCTACTGGAAACTGTATGATAAACAGTACTGATAGACTAGTTTGAGTAGAGAGTAAAAGGCCGACATACGGATACGGCTAGATCGACTATGCTGTTGATGCTGGTCATGAACCATAGATACTTTATAGCAGAGGTCGGCCCGCAAAACCATTTAATAAGTTAAGGTGGTTAGGTGAGTACAGTATTTTACAGTCAAAGCACTTGAAAAGGCGTTCCTTCTTGTTTTAGTTGTTTATTTTAACGATTTCCTTCATCTAGTCAATTTATTCGAATGAAAAGCAACTACCTGATAAATCATTTGTTGGCCCGTGATAACATTAAAACCCATTTAAGCATACCTAATTAGAAAGTCGCAGAGCCGACGAAGAAGACGAAGAAGTTCCTCGGGCAACACTTGACATTTTGCCATTAGCATTAACATAAATCATATTGGGTTTAACAATTTGAAAAGTCAAACAACACAAAGCGAATATGAGGAGGGGGAAAAGCGTCAGATCATGATGATGATGAAGGCATTTTCAACAGCAATTTGACTACATAATTCCCCATTTCCCCTCCCCCACCTGCAGCGCCGACTTTTCGCATTTTCCATACAATTTTCGCAGAGCCAAAAGGTCAGTGCAAAAGTAGATGGCAGATGGCAGCTGGGAGATGTGAGATTTGAGATGGGGCCGTCTGGGATCAACATCGTCGACTCGACTACAATAAACATTAAATGAATGTCAGTCTTTGGGGCACGAACAACAAAAGGAGCGAAACCAGTTGCTCCTGCTAACTTCCTCCTGAACGACGGAGATTCCTTATTGACTACGGAGGGGGCCCCAAGCTAAAAATCTCGCATCGCATTTCCCAATGCTTGACATTTGAAAGAAAAGCCGAAGCGGAACACCGACTGCCCATGATAATCATGAAAGAGTATTGGAACATCGATTATACATTTTTGAAACAACTCAGTATTGTAAAGTGAAAGTTAAATCTAAGGAAAAAATATATTTTTATAGATCAAACTGATGTAACTAAAAATTTATTTTTAAATAAATAAATATTAGGGCAGAAAAAAACATTAAAAAAAATTAAATAATTATGTTTCCGTAATCCAGCATCAATAATATGTATGTACTTTAATGTTGGCATAACCTAAGTCTTTAATTAAAAATATTCTAAATGTTTAATATTTCCAATAATGTTTAATCTTAAAAAAAGGAAAAGTTATATAAGCTTTATATTATATATTTAATATTAAAACAAGGGAGAACGCTATAGTCGAGTACCTCGACTATCAGATACCCGTTACTCAGCTAAATGGAGATATGCAAGCAGCAAAGCGAGATTAAAATGCGCCACCTACCGGCGGTATACAGATTTAAGCGTTATGGGCGTTAGAGTGGGCGTGGCAAATTTATTTTTGGATCAATCGATAGGTATTGACGAGACCAATACATTTCAGTTAAAATTTTTTATCTAGCATGAAAATTGTGGGCGTCACAGGTTTTTGCGGTTTGTGGGCGTTAAAGTGGGCGTGGCAAACTTTTTTTGGGTCAATCGATAGGTATTGATGAGAACATTACATTTCAGTTAAAATTTTCTATCTAGCATCAAAACTGTAGGAGCCACAGTTTTGGGCGGTTTGTGGGCGTTAGAGTGGGCGTGGCAGTCTACTGAAACAAACTTGCGCTGCGTAAGAAGCTCAGGAATCTGCACGCCAAATCTCAATAGCCTAGCTCTCATAGTTTCCGAGATCTCAGCGTTCATCCGGACAGACGGACAGACGGACAGACGGACATGGCTAGATCGACTCGGCTAGTGATCCTGATCAAGAATATATATACTTTATGGGGTCGGAAACGCTTCCTTCTGCCTGTTACATACTTTCCGACGAATCTAGTATACCCTTTTACTCTACGAGTAACGGGTATAATTAATCAGAAAGTGTATCTGCACCTCGATCATCTCACATAAGAGCAATCCATCGGTTAGTCTTTTCTTTCACCGACTCAAGTCAACAATACGGCAAATTATGGCACTTCCTGTTGACCTATTCCCGACCCAGGAGATGAGAAGGAGAGTTGGGCCTGTGTGTCTTGGGGTTAGAGTCGCTCAAGTTATACAATTACGCGCCAATCAGGGCGAGTTTTACTATGGACAATTAGGATACAGCTCGGCGGAGAGCTGGCAAATACATCTTTGAAGGCGGGCGAGTTTTGTGCCTTGGTGCCGGGAATTCGAATCTGTAGTGCGTGATAAGCATTTTGATTTATGCCATCGGGGAAGCAGAGCTCGAGTACACAAGCAAATCCTTAATTGAACACGCCGCTTGGCTGCTAAGTAACTAATTTTATGGCATATTAGCAGACCATTAATTATGCCGGTGTTATAAATTTTAATGCCGATTAATTGCTGCCAAAACACAGCAACACAACCAGCGATCTGTGTCTGTTGACCCAACAACAAACATCGAACACCACAAGCGCTTGTAGCCGGGAAAAAAATTAAAAAATAAACTAAAACAGGCAACAACAAACGGACAAACACCGAAAGTTGTCATAGTTGTAGTTACTATGTGAATACTTTGTATACTTTTCGTGGACCAACTTTATTTTCTATTCCACCTGAACGGACCCCAAGATTGGATCAAAGTAACGAGTTGAGGGGATGTATACCGAAGGTCAAGTTAATAGCTCTAATTAGGTATTCGGCAGTTCATTCAATTTAAATACATTTTAATAAGTAGGAATAGAAAATGAACAAAATGTTCAAAAAAACTATAATTTTTGACATTGATATAACAATTTGGTGATATAAAAAAAACTGCTTACATCGAGAATAAGGAAAAAAAATTTAAAAATTTGAAAGTTTCTATACATGTATGAAAATGATAAACAGTATTATCAACTTTTATCGCTTTCATTTGCATTTAAAGGATGCAATAAATCTTAAACTTTGTATTTCTACTAATCTCAACTATACTGTAAGTACGGGATATACATGCGTGTTGATTTGGATGGCCAAAAGGCTTCCTGTTGTGCGTGGGTCGTTGATGCTGTCGATCCAACGGCAAAGTTGCCATGTTGATGCTGCGATGGTTTTCAGTTGCCGACATCACGTTGTGCGCTGCACCGCCGGCATCGTCATCAAATTGCCCGCACGCGTCATAAAAAATCTTTTTTGCTTGAGGAAATGGTAGTTGAAAATATTGGACTAGAATGAAACCAAAATCACCTTTCATCGATGGTACATAAAACTTATTAAAACGTAATATTCACATTTTTGAAAAAATAATTATTTAAGCAATACAAAATTGGAAAGAAGTATATTAAACTAAGCCAACTTAAGTAATATTAAAAAATTTAATCGTCTAGCAGTAAAAACTTTTCCACTTTAAGTTCTGATATAAAAAAAAGCTTTAATCTATAAAAAATTGAAATATACAATATATATGAAATATACAGTATATCAAAATATCATTTTGATATACGTCGTACCTCACTCTATTTTATCAATTAAATTTTGCAAAAGACCTGTCCTCAGTATATATATCTATATTCAAAATATCGAATCAATTAATCTAACCCCAAGAGAGTAGGGTACAACTGTCTATGAGACAAAATTATAAGCGCATAACTCTTATTTTAGGTTGATAGTGAGCGAGCCAAATGTAATTTATGCAGTTTTGATTGCATTCGGTGAGTGTTTTTAATTTGATTATAATGGTATTATGGTTATATACGGCGATCAGGCTAAAGCATAATTGGCGATTTTCGGGCTAGGGGGAATATTTATGAGGAGCTAAATCAAAGGCGGAGGTACCTCAACCTGTTGGCTTGAAATCGGACCCACAAATGTCACATAAAAGTGTCAACGGAGCTTTGAACTAAATTGAAAATTTATTGATAACTCTCCACTATCTTTTTCTCCAGTTCCTCTTATTTTACCCACCTACGCGCGTATTATCATCTAATGATCTCATCTTTGGAGATTGTTGAACAAATATGTGCGGGGCTTGTCCGACTTTATGTAATAAAGAGCTGTAACAAATTTCTCGGCGGGGTTTCGGTTTTGTAGTTTTTATTGGCCACCTAATGAAGTGCTTTAAACTTTATTAGCTTACCTGTTTCGATTATCTCTTAAGTAAGCGATGTGGCGTGTTTTAAATACAGCGAATGGGTTAAGAATTAGCATAAGGTAAGTGGGAATGGTTTTAGAGTGCAGTACTTAAGATCAACATATAAAATTAATAAAGGGATAACATAAACAGGTGAAATTGCGTTTTATATTATTTATTTTCAACATTCAATTGGGTGTTTTCGCGCTTTAATTATTCAAGTATAAGTTACTAAAACCCGATTTAAAAAATGGCCTTTTATAAACCTAAAATTTTAAGAATTTTAAAACTAATAACATTTTTCATATTTAACCCCTATTTAGCTATTTTAATTAAGCGTATCCTCAAAAA